CGGTGACGCGGCCTGTTACCCCACAGTGGGATTTGACACTGTTTTTACACACACTAACCCAAGCCCCATTTGTGCCCTTGGAGACAGCGGACCTGAGATTCCTTTCGGCTAAGGTTGCCTTGCTCCTGGCTCTGACGTCGGCCAAGAGGGTCAGCGATCTGGCTACCACCGCTCCGTCGTGCCTCAGGATTCAGGGCAACGGCAGCTCGGCTATCCTGCACCCTAACCCAACGTTCATGCCTAAAAGCATTATGAGCTCCTTTTGGTAGCTCCATCAGTACTGAGTGTTTTGGCTGAGTGATCCTCCTTGTGAGTGTGGGTTGTGCCCTCTCCCACGGGACGGTGTGGGGAGGGGGTGGCCGCTGCTTATGTGGCCCTGCCTTGGGCCCCCCACCCAGTTTCCCGACTTACCATGGTCGGCCCCAAGTCTCCCATGTTGCGCCATCGGTGCTCGCGCGCACGCCGACACCACTGCCGTGGTCAGCGGATGACTGGGTGGCTCATTATGGCTCTGGGCAGGTGAGTTGTGCTTGGTGGTACCGTATGGGCCAGTGAGGCGTTGACTCATCCTGCTTTGCCTCTAACCCAATAGCGATTGCCTTTGAGGGCGAAGCCTATACAAAATACTGTAGAATGGGGGTTATGTACTGTAACCCGGATTCTATGAGTATAGGCACAGCCCTCTAAGTTGTTGGCCTCACTGGACCTTGGTTCTCAGTGCTGAAGGCTGGGTCTCATCGTTGTATATGTACAAGGTGCGGACGTAGGAGAGGCCCACGCTGTGGGTGGGCGTAGACTAAAATTCTCAGTGCCGCGCAGGCATGCAGAAGGGGTAAACCCAATAGCGATAGCCTTAGAGCGCTGCGCCTACTGCGCCTATACTCATAGAATCTGAGTTACAGTACGTAACCCCATAACACAAGGTACAGAGAGTCGAGGGGTGGGGGCTAGTAAGAGATGTGATTATGCCGGCCCAGTGTCAGTATAGAAAATCACCCAATGGGCCGCTGTCCATGCTTTATGGGCCGATTGTTGGCCCGTTTTTAAAAAAACAGATAAATAATTTATGTTACACCAGCCCCAAAGGTGCGTTGGCATTTGCCCGGTATGCCAGATTACCAATCCAGCCCTACCTCACAGGTACGCTTTTGTTACAAATGACCCAGGTTTCAGTGCAGAATTTAAGTGTCTCTTGATTGGGAAGAGGCTATTTCAGAGGCATTTTAATCATAAATACTAAAACATCATTATAAGCCCTTAAAAATCTACAGAGCACTGGCTGAATTTTCAGAGAAAATGTTACAAGTGGATAATCAAAACATGGAAGAAGTAGTACTTGAGCTACGTGTTGTCCTGTTGTAGTAGCCATGATACTTTAAACAAAAGCATGTATGATAGTTAGGCCAATAAGGCCAAAAAGTTGCATTACTTATGGCATGCTTGTCTTTATGTAATACATTGGTGGCTTTTAAAAGAATAACATGTTATTGAGAATCAATGGTGGGCAAGTTATTTAAAAATGTATTTAAAGAGTTTATATTGTGCTTTTTTGGCCTTTTCCCTTTCCTATATTTTTTTGTGCATAATAGGTTTGCAAAGTAAAAAAGGGAGTTACCATCTCTCACAGAAAACACTGCTCTGAACTGCCTGAAGACAGCTCATTTGTAGACCAGGCTTTACTTCCATAACCTGTCTGCGTCACTATGTTTCACGCGTCATAACACTTGCCTAGCGGCTAGTGTGGCACAACCTCATAAACACCGGGGCAGAAACACACTGAGCTGCAGCCCTCAACCCCACCCTCCCTACCAAATGTTAGGCAGTCAATGGACATAAAGTTGTTACTGTGATGTAGAGACAGTGCAGTTAAAACGTTACATATGAAAAATCAATTTGTTACAAATTAATAACTGACCACATGGTTATTAATGAGAAACTCTTGCTCCAGAGTAGGTTGCGAAGCTGTTCGGGAACATGTACAGCTGAACTGAAGCCGTGGTTACTGGCTTGTCAGGACCCACCCTACTCTGATTCTGATTGGCTAGTAGTCCTTAACTAGGTACTACGCATGTACAACTCCTAATAAAGATCAAATAGAAGTGAGAAGTGAAACGGAGCACAGGGTGAAAAAACTATTATGGTACAACCCCTAAAAAAGTTATGAAACTGAAAATTACACATTGCTCAGTGAAAGTCCCCAACACATGTTCCCCATGTCTCTGCAAAGATTGTGGTTTTGATTCAAGTTACAGCAGACATTTTTGTGTATTAAACCAAGACAATGATATTTGCTTCACCTCAACAAAACATGAAATAAAAAGTATAATAATGTGGAAAGCAAATTAATTATATTGTCAATGAACATTTTGTCAGGTTATTAATAAACAATTTATCCTGCATTATGTTTCTCCAGAACATATATGCTGTTGCAAATTGCATTGCATTTAAACATCATTTCTAGAAGACATAGGTTGATAATACATGGGAGGCACAAACTGGGGCTGCTTACATGGATACAGACCCACTTCAATGTTTGCATACAATGGGGCTGCAGTGGAGGTGCAAATAGCACCTGACTTTAACAAAGAACACAAAAACAGAGCTGCTCCATGCAAGAACCTCTTTCTGTCCCCATGAAAAGGGTCAGAGAGTGGAGGAGAGAGCCGGCCAGCAGCACTGAGGAATGCTGGGTAGAGCCCCGTGCTTGTTGCCTTTGGAATGCCCCGTGGCCTCTTACATAAGTCCCGTCAGGCCATCGGCTGCTTCGTCAGCCACACATTCACAGTCAGCACTGATACCCACCCACAGACTCAATCCAGCATCCGCTTCTTTACACCGCGGAGAAGAGTTGGGAAATGCTGTAATTATGGTCTTGTGTAATTGCAGCTCTGCCACTCCACAGCTCACTTATATTACACATAGTATGTCAGACTTGACCAGTATTACTGCTTAAATAGTGTGACCGTTTGTAGCTGAAGGGAAGACATGAGCCACAAACATCCTGTTGGCCTATATTATATCAACATGTGTGTAGCTGTTCATACAATCAGCTTGTTCATGTGGTTTTCAATGACAATGTCACTGAAAATTATCACCCTTATACAATTAGATTTAAAAAGATGGCTTAAAACTCGTTTTTTGTCTATGTGCTATGGTCCCTCCTAATTTCACTGACTGACATTCACTTAGTTTCTATTTTGGCAACTAGTTACCTTAATTCCCTTTTGATGTTGTATTGACTTGAATCTTAACCTCAGTTAAGTACATTTACTCAAGTACTGTATGTGAGTGAATTTTTGAGGTAGTTGTACTTTACTTTCAGAGGGAAATATTGCACTTTTTACGCTCCTACATTTATCTAGCATCTGTTGATACCGGTTAATGTGCATATTTTGCAATTCTAAATTCTAAAATGTGATGCATTGTTCTGTGAAACAACATTTTCCTCTTATCAAGTCATTTTAGTCATGGATTGAATCCTTGAGTTCTTGAATTTTCTAGAATCAACTTTTGTGCAAATGTCTGTTTTTGTAGGTTAAACACTTTATGAAGAAATACACTACAACAAAAACTCTGCAGACCCCATTCCTATTTGTTTGGGATTCTGTCTGTTTGTGTATTCTGAGATTTCTCATAGTTGTGTACCTTATGTCCATCCATCGTCAACCGCTTATCCTGGGGGGCTGGAGAGGGGTACACCCAGGTTGCCAGTCCATCGCAGGGCACACACATACAAACAACCACTCACACCTAAGGACAATTTTAGAGAAACACCAATTAACCATGTCTTTGGACGGTGGAGAGCACTCACGTGGAGAATATGGAAACCCCAGGGCAACCGGGGTTTGAATCCACAACCTTCTTGCTGTGAGGCGACTAGCTACCCACTGCACTACCGCACCACCCTGTGTACCTTATGTGTGCTATATAAAAACCTTAAATTAAACTGCTAAATAATCTGACGTGAGTTACAAAGCAGATATGTAGTGAAACTGGAATATAGGCGTTATAGTATAACAGAGTATAATAACATTATTCTGACCTGTGCACAACACCTGCTTCTTTAAACCTAAATCTCCTCTTTAATCTCGTTTATTAAAAAATTCCTAAATTTCAGTCGACATAGCAGCACAAAGGAATATATAAGAACAGATGCAGTATTGTAGAAGTATTAAACCACTATTTACACTATACAATCAATAATAATTTACAACCAGATAAATGTCTGAAATATACCCAGGAAAATCCGTCAGTTTGGCTAATGTTGATTTAATAGGCAAAAGTCAAACAAAGATCAATCTTGGGATTGACACATTCAAGAGTTTTAACAAAAACTAAACATAGATCACAAGTTTCAGTTTCTTGTAATTGGCTCCGTCCCTTTCAGGGATTGATTTCTACTCTTGATATACAGCGCAAGGCGTCACATGGTCACATGATGGCATAGTTTTAAAGAACGGGAGGCTCATTTGTACAATGAGTAAAAATGTGTCAAAGCCCTGGTTCTTGTCAATAATAAACTCTACAAAATTTATAGTTATACTGTAGTATTTATTCAGTGTAATAAATGAATGCCAAATAAACAACTTGAAATATTCTAGCCTGAAACTATATCAGTAAATAGCTTCTATTTGTAACTCCAAATAGCATTTAGTAATGGACAGATGGGACATCGGGCCCCCGGATACAGATTTGTAAAAATCCCCCCCATCCCTCAGATATAGCAGCAAGACACCCAGACTGAAACGGACACAACATGCCTACAAACAACACTGTCACGTTTTCATGTCTCCTTGTGTTTTTTTTGTGGTCGTTTTGCATCTCTTGGCATTTTGTCTCTTTTGTGGTCATTTATTGTCTATTTGTGGACTTTGTCTCTTTGGGGTTGTTTGGTTTTGAAGTTTCCTATTGCTTGCCCCACACCTAATTACATTTTTTTTTAAATCACGCTAATTTATTTTAAAAGGTTAAAGTAAAAATAAGGACAAATAAAGGACAAATTTGGGTTCACCAACTGTACCGAACAGCCATATTTGTTTTATTTCACAATGACACATTGGACAGTTACTGTAGATATACAATATATCAAAAACACATCATTTGACACGTCATATCTAAAATTAAAAAAAACACTCTTGTTTTTATTTTGCACAGAGCGCAAGTCTTAAAAGACACAGAATATATGTGACCGAACATTACAAATGAAGGAACGGATCAAAATACATTTCCCAGCACATAGTTCTATATTGCATACACATTAAATTGGGAGTGGAATTCAGAAACGCATCGATGGACCACCTTTAAATTATATATGTGGTGAATATTCATAAAATTTCCAAGGCCACCATATGGACTTTAATTCAGCAAAAACAGACGGCTCAGCTGTCCAAAGCAAAGGACAGAAAAGCTTAAGGATGAGTAATTCCCTACACAGTTATGAGTAAATTTGGGCGATACCAGCGGGTACTGGTAAGCAGCAAACGGAGCTTAGTGAGGCTCCCAAAAATCAAACACCAGGTGTCAGTTTGGTCATGCAAACATAGTAGAACATCCTGGAAATACAAAAACTCCCTCAGCATGGATTGTGACAAGGTCCCAAAAACATTCACGAGGATTTTAAAGAAAAATCAACAGCCGTCATCAGAAAGCTTTCTAGTACAGATTCATACAGAGAATAGTGTTTCATTAATGGCATACAGTACTCTTTTCTTCACTACAAACCTAACCCTCTGGCTTGCAAGGCATCAAATTTGTGAATGAACATCTAATTCCATTACATCTACTATACTTAGTGCTATACCACAGCGGTTTCTTGTATTTAAAAGGCAAGGTGAGAGGTGTTGATACCGCTTTTGTATCCAACTAATGACTGCAATTAAGTGAGTCAAAGCCAGAGGAAAGTCTTGAGAAACAAAATCATTGTAAATCACATTTGAAAAACTGACTATAGCATAGATGGTCTGTCAAAAAAAGTCACAACAGAAAAATTGCAAAAATCGTCCAAACTAAATATTACAAACAGCATCTACGGAGAGAAATAGATAATTTCTAATAACTTAAATACTTAAATTAGTATGCAATACAATACACCTCCATTTGGGGCCAGAGGGTAAGAAAATAGATCTGCTCAAAGCCTACGCAAAAAGCAAAACAGGTAGATTCTTTGCCAACAGGTCCATAAGCTAAACCTAGTTTAATAATAACCTAGTTATGTGTGTGTCCGACTTGCATGTGTTGTGTGTGTGCGTCCTTCTGGAGGAGAGGACTTCTCTCAGATCCCTTCATTCCTGCAGTAAGAAGCTTTGGCACAGAAACACTGTGGGACGAGATGACGAATCACAACACGGTGCTAATGAGGGACACTCATGCAGACCTCGCTCCAGTCCTGGAGGAGATAAGGTCAGTGAACCCCAACATGCATCGCCACCATACTGCCAGGGCAACAGACAACAAGAGAGTGGGCCGAGCGGCAGAGGAGAGGCCGGGAGGGAGTGGAAACAGGAACACACAGAGAGAGGAAGGATGAAGAGAAATGGCTCAAAGGCATGAAGACAGAGGGTTTTTGGGGAGGATTTTTCAACCATAGTAGGGGCGATGACAAAATAAAAGGCTATGGAAAATTATTTCCTTGATGAAGACCTGTGGTGGTTTTCTAGTTTCTCACTATCTCCTCCATCTCACAGAGACGACTCCACCTCTCTACTGATGGTAACCTCGGCCTCTGACTGAGGGCGCACTTGAATGACTGCAGCCTGCTCTGGGGTCTCACTGATCACCTCCAGGGCTGAAGCGCCAACAGCCTTGCAGTCACTGCTAGCCCTCTTATCTGGGTTCTGTTTGTCCGCAGAGCCGCAGCACAGCTTGGGAGCACACTGAGTCCGACAGGAGAGCTCACAGAGGGAGTCTCGAGACTCCGAGTTGAATGTGACAAACTCGGGCTGGATGGTGGTGGCGTGGATGCCCTCGTCGTGGAAGAAATCTTTAATGCGCTTGGCCACGTCCATGTAAGATGTGGGGTCATGGCACTTGATGTGCGCCGTGGCGATGATGCGACTGCCGGCCAGCTGCCATATGTGCAGCTCGTGGATGGCCAGGACACCGTCCAGGCTCAGCAGCCGCTCGTTGAGCCGGTGCATGTTGATCTGCTTGGGCACGGTCTGCAGCAGGATGAGAGCAGACTCTTTGAGCAGCGGGTAGGTAGTATAAAGCAGGATGCCCACCATGATGATGCACAGTGTGGGATCCAGGTAGAGAATCCAGCAGGGGCCAGCAAACTTCATGGCCGACACTTGGGGACCTTCCAGCAGGTCGACCAGCGTGTGATTCACATGCTGGTGGTCTGTGTTGTGGCTGTTGATACACGGGTTCACGCACATCTCGCCGGCTATGCAGGGCTTCCACACAAAGGTAAATATTACAGCATTGACCACCACAATGACAGACCCCAAGGCGTCACCCAACACATGCAGGAAGACTCCGCGCATGTTGAGCTGCGACGACGCATCCTGGTCATGATCCATCTCCTCATAGTGGGTGCTGCCATTCATCTGCACCTCTGTGGCTTCTTTACAGCTGATTTCTGAAGATAAAAACAAAGGTTTGTTTAGGGGAATGTGAAGTCAATGTCTAATAATCAGATGGACTTTGACACTGAGATACTAATACAGCATGTACTAAGACAGCACAGGAACAACAAAAACACAAATGTTGCTTTGAGAAATAAAAAGGAAAACAAACAACAACAAGCTGTAACACATTAGCCTGAAGTAATGAGATTCCAAGAAGATGCTATCAGTGGCTGCCAGTTGATGAATTGTTTAGTTACATCATTTGGGGTCAAAAAAGCCAGAACTCAGCCTGCGATGTTATCAGGTGACATGTGTTGGAAATGCATCAAAGTCTAAACTAAGGTCAATTTACAAGAGACATTCAGTTGTCAAGAGTTCACTGTGGAAGACAATTCACTCTTCTGATTTAGTCTGTGCTATAACTGCTCTGGGCCACAAACAGGAGGAACATACCAGACAGCCGTGTTGAATTATATGAAAGAAAACTCCTGGCATGTGGGATCCTAAACGCCACAAAACACTGTAATTCACACCAAGCAAATTCAATTAGTAATTGCAGGCAGTGTATACACAACTCTGGGGGAATGGCACCGGAGCAATAGCTGTTCACTTCCATCCTGGGACGCCTGCCGGCTCATTCATCATCGGCTAATGGTGTGGCTGGGGCTTTCAACTCCACGGTTACACTGATGTATGACGCAGTAACAGCAATCAGTGCACGGAGGAAGGGGGGATATGGCCTCCATTTATTGAAACTGGCGGGGCCTAACAGTGTGGGGGAGACACTATGTATGGTGTTAACCCTTCGGTGAGGGAGGCGGATGGCCGCTTGGACAGAATGACCCGCAGCAAGCTTCTTTTTTTTTTTTTTTTTGGAAGAGTGAACTGTTGTTTTATTGTCAACAAGCAGACATCAACAACAACAGAAATAATAAGAATAAGCTGTTTTTGTGTATGCTTGTAGAACCTGACACCAAGGTGTGGGTGTGTTACAATCAGATTATCACTATTGTGCAATGTCACTTGTACAGTCTCTGCAAAAATGTGAGCAGGAATTTTGATAGATGACACACTGTTATAAGTTTGAACTTGTCAAAAGCAGGATGTTTCTTGGCAGCTTCTACCCATCTTTATTTACAGGTCACCTGATAGTAGTCGGGTGGAAACCAGAGTGTTTCAAAAGGCGACCACATTTCCAAGGATAGAATAACCCACCAAGAAATATCTGATAACAAGTGTGGCTATCTAAATGCCACTGCCAAAGAAGAAACAATAAGGGTTAGTCACTGAAGCAGGGATTCCCTCAGGGTACACTCAAGATATGTGATGTGTGTACTCTTATGCAATCTGGACTGCTAACAATGGAGATAAAGTCTAGCACATGCTGTCAGATTACACGTGAGGCACAACGGGCTGGGTTTGTAGAGTTTTGACACTTAATAATGACCTGTAGTATTCAATTAAGCATTAATACATCATTTAACACTGAAGACTAACAAGAAAGATTAAACTCAAGATTGTAAACAAAATAACAGAACAGTGCGTACAGTACAACCAACATGCTTCGAGTGCCCATACATACCATTCCTAGGTCTCACATCGCCCGGGCTGTTGTGATTTCCAACCAAGTTGTTGGTCTCCTCTCCTGAAGACCCGTTCCCAGCTTTCTGGGACTTGCCAGTTTTACCCCTCTTGTTCTTATTTCCATGAGAGTGACCTCCGTGGGAGTGCCCGTGGCCTCCCCCGGCGTGCCCGCGGAACAAGCAGAGTCCGAGCAGGTTGACCAGGAGCCCCGCGGCGCCGACCCCGATGACCACCTCCGGTTTCTCGATCTCATGGGGCTCGGTGAAGCGCTCGACTGCCTCGAGGACGATGGTGAAGCACAGCGCCGTGAGAAAGACGGCGTTGACCAGAGCCCCCATCACCTCCGCCCGGATCCACCCAAAGGTGTTTTTGTTAGTCGCATGGGTTTTCTCGGCGAACCGCACCGCGACCAGAGCAACCAGCAGCGCGATGACGTCGGACAGCATATGAAAGGAGTCCGACAGCATTGATAGAGAGGCGGTCATCCGGCTTACCACCACTTCCACAATGAAAAACCCAAAAGTCAATGAGAGCATGCATAGCAGCCGGACACGATTAGGCTCGCAATCCATTTTCCCTTCCTCACGGTTCTTCGTCGAGTGAAGTGAAATAACGTTTCACTGTGTCTTCTAACGAGCTCACTAGGACACCAGCTAGCTATCGTTAGCTATCCGGGTTCAACACAACTCCAAGCTAACGACTTACGTTAAGCTAGCTGGCTCCTTGAGACAATACGATCAATGCTAACAGCGTCTTCATTCACTTATCCAGTGACGGCAGCAGCATCACTCGGCTAAATATAAAGATGACCACAGGTGGAATTGATCCGGCGTACGATTTCTAGTTAACGTACAGTCAACATAACGTGAAATTCACCGCGGTCATCACCAGTTTATACCAGATACGTTTGCCGACGAGCTTCGGTTTGCAGACGGCTGAAACTTTGCACCCGAGCCGGTAAACTTTCCACACGGAACACGGCGCTGTGAGTACACGCCCCCGTGTGATTCCTATTGGTGGAGAGGGTGCGAGATTAACTGTGATTGGTCAAATTGTGCAACTCTCGCAACTAGGCGGAGCAAGCAAGCCAGACAACAGCGGTTGCTACGCACGCTTACGGCTCGCGACGACGTCATTAATCGATATGTGAATCTTTTGTAGTATCGGTACAACTTCTAGAAAACAGAATCTATTTTAAGTCGCAAATATATCCTACATACATGTATGTAAATGGATAAACACTGGCCATTTACCGTATTCACCTTTCATTAACGCAATAAATACTGTATTTCTCATCACCGGTTTTAAATGCTCTCAATATATACTAATTTAAATGTCTGTCAGTTATGTTGTAATAAAGTAGACCTATCTTTCATTGTTAGAAACCTATCTAGTTGTTTTAGTCTTTTAATTTAATCAACTGTAAATTGGAGGCTTATTATTGAACAAAACCATCATATAATGCCCCTCTTAATTATACCTTCTAATCTGTTGTTAATCAAAGCACAAATGACTTTTAGGTATGTTGCCTGTAATCACCGGCAGAAATCTCAATTCAGGGGCTGACTTTTAATGGGAAACTGATGACCCCTTGTGGGAGTTATCAGTCTTAATCAAAGACTAGAGTGTATTTGTAGTATAACTGTAATGGAAGTGAAAAACTAATCATTTTTGAGTCATTATTTTGATGCTTGTACAGCAGATTTTACTAAACTCTACTACAACTGATAAACAACTTTTATACACTTTTGTGGTATTATACATCAAACCAAACTCTTATTTTACTATATACTGAGCATCATTGGCACAAAAGTTGCCTTATTAGATAAGTTATATTATCTTAACTCTTTACTACAATTAGTAGTAATAATGTAAAAACTTAAATTCACAAACATGCATTCTGCAGTTTAAATGTTCATTGCCATCATAGGTTCAGGAGATGTTCATCAATTATACTATTATCACTGTTGTCTTAACCACACAAGTTTTACATTTTGTTGTATTGTTACACATACAAGTCAAGAAAGAATCGGTCTGTCTGTCTATTTCCAAGCAGTTTGTGAAAGAAAAGGGACTTAAATATATTTACCAACAATATACAGTACATTGACATCCACACATCCAACTGTCAACCTAAATAAGACACTACAATACACAGGATTGAAACACTTGGCTTCACTACCATCACAGCTACTCAATTACCATATAAACCTTGATTTACATCCAGTTATTATGACTCTTGGCCTCCAGAAGCTTCCACATTCAGTCACAAGTCAGACAGCGATATCTGCATGATCAACGGATGCCGAGTATCTGTCTGCTCTTAAACTGACAGGTCTTCTCCACTTCGCTCAGTTTCTGAGCGCGCAGTTTGGCCGTCTGCAGCCTCCTCAAAATCAGCTCCTGGGACATCACACTCAGACGTCCATCAGGACCCTGGTTCTCTTTGCTCTCACCTGCAAAGTGGACCTTCTTCTTGCCCGGGGAGAGGTTCTCCACATCTAAGACCAAAAAGGGAGGAGTCACTGATAAACGAAGTTCAGACTAAACTATATCACTAGGCACTTACAACAGTCTTTCCAATCCAACATGACAGCTAGATTTCTGAATTTGTTTTTATAAAAATGCAGGTTTAATTGATTTATTCTTTATTGGTGTATAAAAACAGTATTTACATGATTTAAAAAAAGTAATAAATAAACTTTATTTTAGTCCTCCACATTCTAAACAAAAGCATGAACCCATAAAAATGTTGCTCAGTTCTGGTCTCGGTTCAGTAAGTCCAGAGGTCTTCGTCCAATTCTCATACCTATCTCTTTGCCATAGAATGGCGCCACATCCCTCTGCTGCTGTAGACGGTTGTGATTCTTCAGTAAACTCTCTGCTCTGAAACAGGAGATTAGGGTCATTAGTTTGCACCAATCAGTTGGGAATGGCAAAGTTTGCATTGTTTCATTTCTAGCGTTGTAGCGTTTTACCTTGCAAGCTTCTCATTTGACAGTTGCTCACGAACACAAAGCTCCTGCTCTCTTTCTGCAATTGAAGTACAAAAGAAAAAGACATCTTTATTTTGGGAATTTGCAGCACTTTGCCTTGTGACTCTTGTGGCATATGCTTAAGATGCATGTATACATATTATATTCATTGTCAGCCAGGTGCTGTAGATGAGGAAGAGACTCAAAGTAGGTAAACATCCATTGCAACACTTCACTTGTTAACCAGTTAAAGGTGGTTAGTGTGTAGTAAAGTGTGATTTATAGCCTCTGCGTAGCCTCGTACCCCACACCGTAGCCCAACGTGCACCTCCTCAAAAATGTACCTACACACTGAGGCGACACGGACCGTAAGAACTGAGATCGGTCGGCTGGTTAACCTCGCAATGCCTCCGAGTCGACAGGAAGTGTCCTGTGCTTTGAAGTAAATTTTACTAGCGGCCAAACCAGTAGCTGTAACACGGTGGATCAAAATATTTGTCCGTCACAACACAAGTGAAATGACTCGTTTCACTTTCACATTGTGATCCATTTGGTCGATAACATTTGAAAAGTCTACAAAATTTTACCCCCATTCACATTAGTGGAGGGCTAAACCGGAAGTTCGCCTGCTTGGCCGGCAAAAGTCAACACAGTGGATGCTCTAGCGCTACCGCCAACTAGTGTTTGACAGTGTAATTGCAGAACAACAGACACTGACACAGTATAAATGCATGGCTACATGCGTAGCTACGCACGTAGACCCGACACAGGAGTATAAATCATGCTTTATGCTATTAATCTTCCATTATAAGCAGCTTTGAATGAGTTTTCCAGGCTGTGAAAAGCCCAGGTCAGAAGGGGTCGTACAGTCTTATGGCAAGGCCACAGTAACATTAAGGGGGAGTGGAAATAAAAGTCTTACTCTCCAGCCTCTCCTCACGTTCCTTCAGGGCCTTTTCTCTTTCTCGCAGCATCTGTTCCTTGAGTCTGAGCTCTGCGGCAGAGGCCGGTGTCGGTTCTGCTGGCTTGTGAAGGGGACAGTCAGAGTCTGCAGACCTCCTTCGAAGTCGCACCTGTGCCCTCCTCTGCTCCTCAGCAACAGCATCAGCCAACAGGCTGCTCTGGAGAATAGACTCCACAGAGGGCCTCAGATAGTCCTGGCAACAGAGAATAAGATAACTGAACTCTTCCTTCATTAAAACTCAGTACCTGAGTAGAGCACAAGTAAAGCTTCAGATAAAATTAATGTCTATCTAAACAAAATCAAAGGACTGTTTATAATTTATTAATTATTATTAATCTCTAACCTTCAAGTTGAGCATTTTGCTGAGTAAGGTGTTCAGTTCCTCAGAGTATCTGTATGGGATTCTTCTGTACTTTCCCTCTCTGATCTTCTCTGCCAGCTCTTTTTGGTTGTAAGCAGTAAACGGGGGGCTGAACAGGAGAAATCCAGAAAAAATTCAGATTCGCAGTCAACAAACTGGCTGCCGGGGAAATCTATGCAGAGGATTTAGAGAACTTACGATAATGCACAGAGTTCATACAGCAAACATCCCAGTGACCAAATATCTGACTTCTCGTTGTACGACATCCGGTTTATTTGTTCCTGAAAGACAAAATGTTGACAGATTGTGGCAATCCAGCAAGGATAAGTTTACGATCGGGTGGGTCAAAAGGTTAAAGGATAATTCTGGTATTTTTAAACTTGGGTACTATTTTCACATATTTTGGTGTTGAAATGACAAGTACATACAAAGCGTTTCAGGAATCTGTGTAGTTCATGGCTTCAGCCAACAGCAGTGAACCAGCTGCAGTGGCAGCAACGTATTTCGTTGGAGCAATTGGGTCTGTCAAAATTACATCCACAAAAAGTGCTTCTTTTGGCCACTGACAGGCTCAGACTGTCTGACAACATCATGGAAAGTGACCCAGTGACACCCTTTGTTTTTAAATCAGAAACAGAAATCTCGCTCATGGACAATTCCCGTTTTGAAATCTCAGAGGTGGAGAGAGGAGTTTGTTGTGTTGCAGCAACATTAGGAAATAAAGTTTTGCTAGCAGCTCCTCTATGTACAAAACAAACTCCCCCGCCATTTCCTGCAACAGCCTGCCTTTCATGAGATTTCAGAGTAAGAATTGTCCTTGAGTGAAACAGAAGTTTCTTGTTAAAAACAATGTGTGTTCTCTGACATAGGGATCTTTTCTGTGATGTTGTTAGACACCTGGTATAACAGTCTGAGCCTGTCAATGGCAAGCACTTTGTGTGGATGCAATTGCCCTGAAAGTATACGTTGCAGTCGGTTCACGGCTGCTACCATCTACTGCAAGGAAAATATGTGAAAAAAAGGGTCCAGGGTTTAAAAATACCAAAATTATCCTTTAAATGCTCCAAATTTTGCCTAAAAAGATGAAAAGTTAAAAGATAAACCTCAGACACAGCAGGATTAAACAACTCACTGGAGACATGTAGTAAGGCGTCCCGACAAATGTCTTCGCAAAACTGGTGTCATGGTTCAGAATTCTCGCTAGGCCAAAGTCTCCGAGCTTCACATTCTGTCTGATGTCGAGGAAGATGTTGGCTGGTTTCAGGTCTCGATGAAGAACTGTGGCCCTGCCGTCACTACGCCTATGGCACTCCTTCAGAGCTAATGTGAGCTGTGTCATGACTCGCAAGATGAACTGCTGCTCCAAATAACGCCTGCCATGGTAAAAAACACACACTCTTAATTCTGAAGATACTGTCTGTAAGCAGAGGTGTAGTAGAGTGGAGGGATACATAACTCATAAATTGTATTTGTATGCGTTTCAAGACGGAGGTCACATAGTCACCTTTCCTTGATGCATCGGGTGATGAGGGTGGACAGGTCCCCACCCTCGCAGTGCTCCATGACAATGTACAGCGTGGTGTTAGTCCGGTCTATGATCCGATCGTAGTATCTCACTATGTTTGGGTGCTTGAGCTCCCTCAGGAGGTTCAC